CAGCGCAGGACTTGAATGAATCCAACGGCTTGGCAGACTCGATTTCGCCTTGCTACCTGCAGGTTTAAAGCTGTACACGAGCTTGCTTGCGATTTTGCGCCAGGTCCAGTTTCAAGCGGTGCGTTTCTGGTTTGAAAGAAGTCCAAGTTCCACGCCGTTTCTCCAATGCATGTTAACTTTCACAGATTCGAAGACACGCCTCCACACGATGTGTATGCGGTTGGAGAAGCCGGGCAGGACGTTTACGATAGGTCTGTCAAGCACATGCCTTTCAGGCCTTCAGGCATGAGCCGAACTCTCTTCCAAAGACTCCGGCAACGCTTAGCCCCTTCATGCTACACGTGCTCAGAGATAGGTTTGAGAAGTACTGCAGTCGGCGGCCAGGCGTCTTTTGAATTTGTGCAGAGATTTTGCAAATAGGGTTTCAGTTTGCATGCATACCCGTGCGCTTACCCACAGTGCTGTGGTATGGCTTGCAGCTGCTGGCAGCAGTGCTTAGATGTTTAGACCTGGAGCCGCTTCAAGCGCGGTGCGCAAAATGAAGCCTGCAACAGAGACCCCAATGAAAACGGCAAATGGCGGCAAGCTTCGCTCAAGCGGGAAGCATGTATATATACTTGCAGCATGTTGCAGCTTATAGGTTCAAGCTTGATCTCTTGACCCGCCCTTCGGGGGACACCTCGCAGGATGGCGGCTGGGTTCTGGACATCTCCGAAAATGTGCTGTCAGTGTACCGAGGGTCCGATGGTTCTCCTACAGTCGAGACGCGCTTGGAGGCCAGGTTCTATGTCAATTTGATATTGCGGAGCCTTTGAAGCTCCTAGGCCCTCAACCCCGCGCTGCACATTTTGAACTCAGAAGTCTTTTGAAGCAGGGGGGTGGCGATTCCGGATATCCATTTTGCAGGTGAAGCCTACAGTTGGATTCTGGGGAGGCGCTGAGGTACGTGGAAACGTAGAGCACCACATATCATGCAAGCACCAGCGGGCACAGCAATCCAATCGATGTCCTCAGCCAGCCTCTTGATCTTCAGAAGATGCAGTGTCTTAATCCCATGCCAGTTAGATCAAACATATTGGAGGCGTTCTGACAGCCTACTTCATCATAGATACATTCTTGTGCCCTTGTGCGGTTCCATCGGTTGGGGATGCGAGGGGGAGATTGAATTTTCACAACGTCCTATGTCAAGCGATTCGTTCATACGTTGTTTGTCTGTTTTCAGCCGAAAGCTATGCACAAGGGTACCGGTAGCATTCCTGCGCACAAATAGAAGTCATCACAGATACAATGTCAATTGGATCTGTGTCGAGGTGACAGGGAGTTGTTGCAAGGATCGTTCGTAGCATCATAGGGGCGGAGCTTTGCTTTTTGTCGCAGCGCCTGGCCTGCTCATGATTCCTGAGGCTTCCAGAGAAATTTGCGCGGAACCATGCTTTATGAAATAAGCACACGGACCAATCCCATGCATGCAGTTGCCCATGTAAAGATGGACCATAGTTAAGTACCTGGCCCTTAAGACTGGGCAGCGAAGTCAATGTCAGAAAAGGAGTCTATGATGGCAGACAGGGTTACGGACCAAAATTCATCTCTTCAATATCTTCAACATTTTTCGTATCAAAAGTTGATGTCTTTCTGGAGCAGCATACCAAGCAGCCTCATGGTGAAATTGTACAATCATCCTCTTGTAACTTGACACCACGCCTTGCTCGCATCCCCCATGTTCTGTTTCCTCCGGCTTGATGCATAGTCTGTACATGTCCATAGCAGTATCTGATTTCAATGGGCCATATCAAAAGAATCAAACTGCGCTGCTTGTGTGCAGGAACGGTTCAGCTGGATTCCTTACTGAGCTTGAGGAGGCTGGTGCCGAGTGTTTTTGAGGGGGTAATATAGGGATAATGGAAAAGAAAATGGAAACTACTATAGTATTAGGGTTATATGGCCCGCAAATGCAACTTGAAAGCTGGGTCTGCAAAGAAAGGGCCGGTGTGGGTTAGAATTCGGTTTGAGTTCTATAGTCTATATAGGAGTTATGAGAGCTACAAAGGTTCTTGATTACACAGCCGCTAAAATCGGGACTTGGAAGCTGTGCTATGAGCTATGACTTTGATAGGTTGGCTACTGCCCCTGCCCACTAACAGTTGTATATTGTTTTCCTTACTATCAAGCACCCAACAAATTAACAAGTACTTTGTAGCAATTTCAGTTCGCACTTTTTTGGGGTGGGTCCAAACTGTTTTCAGAGACGGGGCTGAGTGGAGAGTTGCAGGTGCTTACACACGTGTTTGCTTCGCCCTCACATAGCCTCCCAAACTATCGGCAGCTGACAAGATTCACAGCTTTGCCATGAATATATATATATAGACATTTGGATAACTGTTAAATTAAAAAAATATATTTCCCCTATACCTTTAAAGGACCCTTGTTTGCAGATTGGGAATCTGCCATTCGCAAAAGGTTGAAAAAGGTTCTGCAGCCCAGACTCCAGCTGAGAGCAGGCCCTGCAAGGATCCCCCAATGTAGCAAAATAATTCAAAGAGCGTTATTTATAGGACAAATAAAGCTCTTCACAGAGTTTATGGTTTACTTGGTAGTTGGTAGCAGCCCCAACTTCTAGCCGCCTAGCTCTCTCCGGTATGGTTGTTCTTGATAGTACGAGGCCTTTTCTCCGTGTTTCGCAGAAATCCTTGTCTAGTTACATTGTGGTCTCGAGTTTAGTGCTTGGTCTTCCAAGGTCTTGGACTTGAGCTTTTGAACATCCCGGTGTAGATGAGGGCATGGCTTCGGCATCATGGAAACTTGCAGGGGGAAGTCAAGGCCGGCATATGCCACAAGACTATAATCCCCTTTGAGTAGATAGAATGTGGCTTTAGGTATGTCATAATAAGATCCCCATACTCCCCATATTCTATCTACTTCAGTGTCAGTATACAGTTGGGCGATTTTGGACTGGATCACGAACAGCGGTGGTGAAGTTCCGATCTAATCTTTTGCCTGAAGTCTGGAGAACGGGCCGCCTGAGAGTTGTGATGCAGGATCACGCCCCAAATGAAAGCTAGTCTTCACCATAGCCACGGTTACTGTGTTGTTTCCTGTACATGTGACCCGTTTGCTTGTTGTTTTTGTTGCCTGTAGGTTTTCATGTCGTGTTGCTGTTGCAGTGACTAGTGGTGCTGTGCTCCTGCAATTGTATCATAGTCGGGCGGGCGGACGGTCCAATTGGTGTCCTTGTTGCCCTTTATCTTTCAATTCGGAGTAGTTTCACAAGCATGGGCGCTGTGAGTGTCAGTCGCTTAGTCACATTTCACTTGGAGACTTGGTCGAGGTTCACGTCCAGGCGACAACAGATTGGGCCCAGCTTGTCACCATCGACGACTTCCGTTGGGAGCAGACCTTAGCTTGCGAGATGGATGGCAGCCTTTCGATGACCTCTAGAAAGCCCATTGACCTTGGACCTAGGATTTTTGAAAGTCTGCAAGTGGAAAGAGTGTTTGGTGGCCCAGGATGCAGAACCAACGAAGACTTCCGAGCCTTGGCTTTTTGCGCAGCAGCCGTCTTCACCCAAACAGACTGCCAACAAAAAGAACCTTTCCCCCTGATGATGCCTGTTCCTTTGTAGCTAGCATTTGAATGCACTTTCACTGTCTGAAGCTTACTTTTACAGTACCGTACGAATCTCATGGCCTTTGCGGAAGGGCGGTAGCTTGGGTGTAAAACGCTTCAGAATTTACCTGTTATTCACAAGGCATTTCTTTTAACGGGATCCCTCGTGCCTGCCTTCACAGAAGCACAAAGACTGCGACCAAAGCTCTACCACTGTCTGTTGATTCCGATTTGCCTTGCCTTGGGGACGCCATGTCATTATAAATCTTCACCACAGGACCCAGACCACGGGGCGTGGGGGTACCGCTCAAAGCCCCAAATAAAATCCTATACAACCTTTATCAACACTCTAGACACCTTTTAGAAACTCTGTTAACCTCGTATAATTACGTAAACCTTCTAAGAAAGGTATGAGCCCTTTGCGTCCTCTATCTGTCGAAGCTCTGTATGAGACCGTAAACCTTATCAAGCCTCTAGAAATACCTGTTTATAAACTTGTTACAAAGCCCTGAACCCTCTGCCTCTGTACTTCTAAACACTCTCTTAAACCTAATGAAACCTCTATAAAACCGTTGAGCATGGGGTGGGAGGGTGGAGCGTGAACGCTGATGCAAATAGATCTCTATACGTATATATGTTAGTTTCCTAAATAGGAGGACCCCAATATAGACCTCAAAATGCTATAGTCCTTGCTACGAGGACCCCTAAGCCAGGACAGATAACCCCATATAGGTATGTCTGTAAAAACTCTAGAAGTGACCTGGCCCAGGAGTGCGGCTCTCACTGTTCTGCGGGCTGGGAGACGGACCGCAACATCGGTGTATCCAATAGCAGGGTCCCTCTCATGTAAACCAAGCGCTACAATCCTTATAGTGACTTTCCAAAAAAGAGCCCGTGGAAACCGCTGAATCTGAAAAAGCAAATGGGGCAAGGAATCTTCAAGGCTTTTATGGTAAGAATGCCAGCTGCTGGCTTCGGACTTGGGATGTGGCAGTGCAGAATGGGGGTTTTGCGAAAATTGGAGGGAGGGGGTCGGTTGGGATCATTGTTGCCCAACCTGCAACAATGACTATAGTATTTATGAGAAATCATGGGGCTCAATTTGGAAACACTAATCTAACAAGGTCCTTGAATAAATAGGAGGAAACATGGCGTAAAAGCTTCTGATTCTCGGTCAAGGTACGGGGCTACCGCCCCAACAATATGTTGACAAGTTTCTCCGAAGTGGGGTCTCATACCGAGCTTGGGAACATGCATGGATATGCGTAGCGGCCTTTAGGACCTCACCCAGAATTCTGAGAAACTCTTATCAGAATCAATCCAGCAGGCTTGTGCTACTTGCCATCCCACACGTAGGCGAACCTCCATTTTCACTGCTGAGACTCCACTGCCTTCCTGTCGCCAAACCTGGGCATGGAACTGGCATGGAACTCTACAATGATCTGCAGTCCGACGCTGGCGTGCTGGAAAGAAAGTTTTGCGCTGCAGCTCTGGCAAACTTGCCTCGCATTTGCTGCGACACATGGAGAAGCCATGGTGCGACACTGATGCGCTGGAAGGTTTATGACATGGAATGCAGAGAAACACGCCGCCAGATTGCTGGAAATAAAGCATGTGTGCCAGCGGTGTTTGCCAGCGGTTGGCTGGAGAGGGTTTGGATTACGACCCATCAACGTGAGAATCTGTCACTGGGTGGTGTATTTTTGTGCGGTTTTGAGTGTAGCGTGGGTTATTGCTTTTGCAAAAGGATAACTCACTCCACTCTCCCGCTCATTCGCCTACACTCAATATCCTTTCATCCTTTCATTTCCCAGCAACGGACACAGAACCAGGAAATCCACAGGCCTCCTATCACCGTGAGATTCCGAAGGGCCCATAACCCCATCGGGCAAATGAGGAGCAAGGCTGAGTTCACAGGGACGCCCACAAGGTAAGAATGGTTGCAGGGCTGCGAGGTTCTAGTGATTCTAGTGTTTTTACCTTAGGTAAAAGTTTTTGGGCTGGAAAGCTTCCAGTCGACTTTGGCGTGGAAATGCCAATGCCACGCCTGATGCATGACCTGAACGATTTCAGACGTGTACAAGAAGCCAGTGTGCACAACTATTGCCCAGAGCATCAAACGGTTATTCGTCAGCTGCAGGAGACTATTCCGACACCGTCGACAGCCCCTGGCCAGCAATTGTGGCGGGTTTCAAGACTGGCGGTTCCTGTGTGGGGGTTGTGGCCATAGTGTTTTGGGGTCAACCATTGAGTTCATGGCTCGGGCAGAGGCTGTCACTCCAAAATGTGGAGGTTTAATGGGCCTTCCTTTGGTTCACTTTTGCCTCACTTTTGTATCAAGCTACACCATGTGTTTAGGCCGCACGGTGCATCCTGAATCCCAGAGTTTCTATAATGGAGGTTCCCCAAATCATTATGGGTTTGGAAGGTGTGTGCCTGCATAATGGGCTTATTGTGGTGCCTGCATAATGGGCTTATTGTGGTGCCTGCATAATGGGCTTATTGTGGTGAATGTTTGTGGACGTGATTCAACATCATCCCTGGAAAGTTTGGAGTACCTACAGCGGTGGTTGTCTTTTTGAGTCGCTTTCAAGATGTCCTGATTCCTGCAGGTTTTGTTACAGACACGCACATCATACCAAGGGACCTTGTCGGAGACGAAAGTCAAACAACTGCCGCACAGAAGATTGTAGAAGGTCAGCCCCATTGGTGGAACTAAACCCTGGGTTTCCTAAGCTGCCCCGAGCAAATTCCATACCGTGAAAGAATTCAATACAGGTTTTGATCTCCGTTCATAAGGTCGAAGCTTACTGTATACAGGATCTAAGACGGGGTTTTTATACAACCCACTGACGAACGTTGCTGAAAGCTATGCGTCACCTTCACTGGCATTTTGGTGTTGTCAAACGTGGATGCTGGGAAAATGCTCAGTCATCCAAAAGCCAGATGTTCGCGAGCCTGCCGTACCATCCTTTTGCAAGGAGCTCGGCAGCATGTCCGATTCTGAGGAGCCAAGTGAGCCAAGCCCATCTGAGGCATTGGGAAGGGGGCCTGTCTAGTCTGTTCAAGCAGTGCTTGGGCTGGATACATATGGGTTTGAAGAGGCAAGGCTAGCGCGCCGTCCCCATACAGAAAGTAAGGGTTTTGTCCGAGGCCCAAGGCTTGAGGCACACTGTGGCTTCAAGGTGCTAACAACGGAGGATCTACAGATCACAAAGTGACATTCCTGATTCTAGTCTAAGATTGAAGATGCGCATGAGTTGCATCGTGTGGCGACATGCGAATTGAAGGATTGTGTAGTCGACCGAGTAAACAGGGACCACTTTCATACAGAGTTCATTGCAAGCAGATGTTGTTGCTGCTTCGCCAGGGCATGCGATTCTCGTGGCCGCCACCCACGGCCAAGCCGGAGCTTGACATGGAATTGGTCACTCCTCTCGGTGACCTGCGCCGATTGGATGCTGCACGGCGGGATTGACACGGGAGTGACTGCTTGAGCACGCAGTGGCGCTATTGATTTTTAAGGAGTTCTGCATAGATGTGAAAGGGGTGATTCGTGGTCTGAAAGGCAGTGCGGACCAGGTTTTATTTCGCAGGTTGCTCTCTGAGCTGGCATATAGCACGAGTTAACTGAGCTCAGTCTTGCACCGCAGCTTCTCTGAGGATGTGGTTGAGCCATTCTCAGCACCACCGAGTGAACGCGAGACAGAGGCCAGCTTCGTGACAGAGGCCAGCTTCTTTTTCTTTCAAAATGCGTAAAAGGTTGATAAGTGTGCCCCCAGTAAGAGATTACCAGGAGTTGCAACCACGAGCTTTCTTTTGCTGGAGTTTGCCTGAATGGACCCTCCTTTTTCCATGGCTCACGCACAGAACATCATAAGCTTGATGCCTGACTTGTGACATGCACACGGTGGTCCTGCAGGCAGAGGTCCCATAGGCAGTCATGGGAGTGGCTACACCCCTAGCTACACTTCGCTTATAGTGGAGGGGGCGACGCTGATTTGGAGCCTGGGGCCAAACCCCGCACTAGTGAGCCAGACTGCATGAGCCTGAACTTCCATTAGTCCCGGTACCCCATCTATGGCAACTCGAGAGCCCTCATAAGAATTTCATTTCGCTCTTTGATCTTCCCTTCCGTGGGCCTATGTTGGGAAAGTACCATCTTTCTTTACTTGCACCTAGCACTGCCTCAGACACCACAAGGCCGCCTTGGTTATGCCCCTCCACAACCTTTCCACAGTCCCAAAAAAGAGGCCGTGGCAGCTCCTGAGCCAAAGGAGATCCTTCCAGAGCTAATGGACCGGCACATTCTGCCAATGCCTTTCCCACCAACCCATTCCATAGCAGCTGGCCTGCTAGGGATTCAGGATTGGCTTTCGGAATTCACAAGGTGTCATTGAGTTTGCTGGTGTTTAGTCAGGGTTTGGACATGAGGGTACTTGATTCATTTCATGGAGTTTCAAGCTTTGGCTCTGTAATCTTTGGCTGTAGCTATAAGGGGTTAGAGGGAGGATGCAAGCCATTGCCTGATCCTAATGTAATGCCTTTTGGTGGAATAAACCATGTGGAGCATTTTCGAAGGCTCGGTAGGGTCATTTTTTAGCGGAGTCTCATTTGAATTGCTTACAGGCATAGGGATGCACGGAGAGGACTTCAAGAGAACCCAGCGAAGTGCAAAGCCGCGGCATTGTGCTATCCTGTTGGAACCACAGCGGCTGTCAATGAGGAGCTAAGGATTGTGAAGGCGAGCTGGATGTCGAGGCCGGAGAGGGACGTAAGAGATCAAAAGAAGGGGGAGGGTGCGCAGCGCGCATTATATTATTTTAAGGCCAATTGCAAGAAAAGGGGCGTTAGTAGCATTACGACACCGTCCTTAATCTTTGTTCGCTCACACCTCTTTTCATCTTTGCGATGCCAGGATATGTCGAGAAGCGTAGGCTCAACGGATGACGTGACCTTCCAGCACAAGGCAAGGAGAGCTGCGGTTTACAACTGCTTAGAACTCGCATGCTGTTCGTCGTGTTGTTCCCTGAAGATACAAGCTAGGGATAGCGGACGGCCTTTATCTTCCAAACGCTGCGTGAAAATTGAATATAACTTCAAAGCATCAAGACGAGGTAGTGCTAGTAATGCTTGCGGTGGCGCAGCAAGCTTGCCCAGTGAAGCTTCTGAAATCTATGAGGCTTGCCCGCTTCAGTTGGAGCGCACACGCAGGGCAGACCATGATGAACAACTTTTGACGTCTGCTTCAAAGGTTGCGGGCCCTGTTGTGAAGCTGTTGCCAAAGATGAATGCGGCAACAAGCTCCAGCATCCGCGAGCAAGATGTCCGTGCGACTGGGCTGTAATGGTAGGGCTTCTACACTGCCTTTCAACAGGTGCCTCTTCAAAAAAGTAGCCAGGACCTGCTTCTGCTAATGAGGTTCTTCTTGCAAAATTTCTTGCAGGTCCCATCGAGAAGTTAAGAATTATTGGCTGCTGCAAAAATCCCATGCTGCACCATTGATGAGTGTCGAGGCAACGGGGGCAGAGGTGGCAAGCAAGCGCACCTCTCCTTCCAGCGTGGCACGAGCCGAGGCAACCCGCCAGCAAAACACCACAGAGACACACAATACTCAGATGAAGTTCAGTCTTTTGGCATCATCTCATCAGTTCCAAGGCTTGCAAACCCTGGGCGGGAGTCCAGTCAAAGACGGTCGCTGAGGACATCCTGCTAGAAAGCTTTATCGACGTGAAGGATGCAAAACAAGCAGGCCTTGCTCAACAGCCCCCGGCCATAATTTTTTTACCCGTGCGGGGTGCAATGTATTAGTAAAGGATGAGTGCAAAAGTCCCGCCAGGCAGAACGCCCAGCTTAGAGCCCAGTTCAAGCGCCGGCGCGCGCGAGAATTTGGAGGAAGATGGCACGGAGGACACATGGTGCTGAGAAGGGCTGCTGCGTGCAAGCCTATTCTTATTCACCCCTTTTACACGGTTCCAAGCCCCAGCACCATGAAGGACAGAGTTGACAAGCAGGACTCCTTCGACCCTTTGGCCAAAATGACACAGAGAGAATGCAAGAGAGTGGCGGGCCGTTTCCTGAAAGCCAACGGCTTCTTTCACGTGGACGAGCTTGAGTCGACATGGCGCTTCTTGTCTGATTATTCAGTGCAGGCTCTTTCACAAACGAGATTCTTGCGCAAAATCTGCATTCGCGTGGTAGTCTCCTTGGCACGACCATCATGAGCTGATTGGATTGTAGTCGTTCCCATCGACCGCTTCTGCGCTATGACTTTCCTTGGATGAGCACACCCTTCCATTTGTGAGGTCATCCTTTGTTTGAAGCAGTGCTTCAAAACCGCCCACGGGTCGTGAAGGCCCTCCTCCTCCTTGGCAGCAGTAGCTTGGGTGCTATGGGTGAGCAGGAGTCTGCTTCAATAGATGCAGGTTTTGAAGTCTGGAGGCGCATTTACCACCTGAGCTTGGCTTAAAAACCCGTTGTAGAAATTTCAGCAAAGGGCAGCCCTATTTTGCAGAATGTGATGTAAAACGATAGGAAAAAGAACGATGAGGTTTTGGAATTGCAGGTTTAGCATATGGAGTAAGCAGCATCCAGTGTAAAACGATGAGGAATCAAACAACGATAAAAGGTTGCAAACAGATACTAGAGTCCGTGATTCAAGACTGGGACGACTCCAAGAATTTTTGCGTCCCCTCTCAGTGCAGAGGGGATCCACGCCCGCTGATTCCTTTAAGTTAGGCCCCCTTAACTTGCCGTGAATATTGACGTTGCCCTAGCTCACGCGTAGGTGTAGTATATCCTCTCGATTCACAAAAATTATTTGCCCTTCAGAAACCTGAATCCCTTAACCCTTGAACCCGAGTAACGCCTCCTGCGACGCTGCATCTGAGCTGAGGAAGGGAAGTTCTGAGTGCCGCTGGACTGACGCCTGAGCACCTTGCAGAGCTTCTTCATCTTCGAAAAGGTGGCCTGACTTGCAGGGGCAAGTGGCGAAGTGGCATGGTGCAGGCTGCTTTTGCCTTGGTTCAGGATTTTCCAAGGTGTACAAAGGTGTAACAGTTGATGGGTGCCTGGAATCCTGGCACAAGGCTAGTCCTCTAGATGATAGACCCGCGAACTCAGTCAGGAATCCGGCGGACGTGTGAAGGTTTTTAGGATGTTCCTTTGCATACCTTTGCTAGGCTCTTGGGATGTTTGGCAGTTTCTTGAAGAGCTACTAATAGCTTGTGAAGACCTGCCGGGGAAAGTTGTGGGTAAAGATGCAGAATGGTACTGTAGGACGGGGATTGTGCAGACGGAGAATGTCAGGCTCATGGGGTTTACGGACGTATGCCGCTTGGAGTTCGAAGGGGCTGGATTGGCCCATGATACTGTAGATTGTAATTCTATACAGGAGGCGTGCACTGCGCACATCTGAGTACACGCTTATTTCCTGGAGCCAAACTAGGATCAAGAAGTTTTGGAGCTTAAATGGAGACAGTCAGCTCCATGGTGCTGAGCTCAGGTGGTTTCGAAGCGGTCTTGCGGGTCTTTGCCACAGATGGGAAACCGGCAGCAGAGGACTTCGAAAGGCTAAAGAGGAGTGGTACACTTTGATGGGGGTTCTCAGCCACCAATCGACGCCGTGCGTGTGTCTCTACCCGTCAGCAAGCCTGGGCAGGTCCGAAAAGTAAGTATTTGAGATGCGATGCCCTCCATGCAACGTGCGGCGTCACTCTCTTTAGGATGTGTTCTTAAGTTCTTATCCTATCACGGCTGTTATCTGATGAGAGAGAAGCTCCCGGACAGCAGTCTTGAACCGCTTGCATCCAATTGCCTAGCGCAGTGGGCCTGAAAATGGCCGGCCCCCTGTGATTGCACCTTCGAGTCAGCGACTCGCGAATTAAGCCTGGGAAGTGGCCTCCAAAGATACAACAAATGGAGACCCTGGCCCAAGTAGGATTCTTTGCCTGAGGCATCGGCACCACTCGCGTGAGCGAAGACCATCATAGGATGTACCACAGAGTGCCGACGCCCAGCAGGACCTACTATTTTTGCCTTTAGCTTTGGAGTTGGCCCGCTGAGCAACCTGTACTCGCGGCTGGCGATTTTAGTGTGTAGTGCCTCTCTTGAGGCAGGTGTGTTGAAAGTTGCACTTTTCTATTCCTAATTCGGAGCATCCACAGAGATGTTCCCCTTCCTCCTTATATTGTACTGGCTGCAAGTGCATTCGTTCGAAGGCGATTGTTCGCATCAGCTAGCAGACCACTCAACACGAGCCACCCTTTAGGTGTCCGCCTGCTTCGCTCGCAATAATAAAGCTGGGCGCTTGCGTGATATGACAGGGATTTGGGGCTGGACATGGCTGGACCACAGCTTGCTTGAACTGATGTATAGCTCAGCCGTGTGTACACCGAAGCCGCTTGCAAACCGAAATATTCGGAAGTCATAGTCAACCGTGCTGCTCGTGTGTCCCAGCATGGCGCTCCAGCAGATTCTGGGAACGCAGAGGCCAGTAATGACAGCTGTCTGGCTGTCTGGTGTCCTTGGGTTGCTTCCTGTGTTTCTTAACGGCTAACTGGCTAACCCTGGATATCATGGCCGTTAGCTAAACTTCCGCTACTTAGCCTGCCTGTTAGAATCACATGCTTTTGTTGGCGCACGGCGGATTTTACCCGATGAGCACTCTACTTCATTGCAGCTTCGTGAAAACTCGTCATGATGTAGCTTGAAGCGAGCTGTCCGCAGAAGAACTTCAGATTCAAAGCTGTGCAGGCTGAGTAAGACATGCGGTACGTGACTAACACGTATCAAAGTCAGATGGATCCAGCACGCACTTTTGCTGAGCAGGTTGAGTCATTTCTGGTGCCATGCATTGCCTAATGGGCAGATGTACAGCGAATGAATCGGTCAACAGCCTCCAAGCCTCTAAGTCACGTTAGAAGACTTGACGTGCTTCTTGAACCAGCCTTCATGCGAGGGGGTGTCCTGCAACTTCCGGCGACAGCATTGAACATTTTTGCTGCTACGGCTACACCGCTGCCACGCAACAAAGACTATGCTGCCACTGCCACTGCCACTGCCGCTGCGGTTGACGCTGCCACAGCAGCTGCAGCTGTTGCTGCTGCTGCTGCTGCTGCTGCTGCTGCTCTTGCTCTTCGGGCTCGTTTGATTACGGACGAAGCTGCTGCGGTTCCCTTCTGCACTTTGCAAGAGTCCCCGAGGTAACCCTGCTATACTGGAACTCAATGCAGGTGTCGCGTTCTGGATTTGGAAGACGGGATAGTCTGTTTAGCAACCGCGGGTCCCAAACCATAAAACCATGTCGTGCCCGCTCTGCAAGTCCCTTGCAATCCCACAAGCTCCCCATGGTTCATACCCGTAACTCTGGGTCTTCAGCCGGGACTTCTAAAATTGGGCCCCCTCCATACCTGCCGAGCCAATGCTGCACCATGGGAAGAAAGGCCGCTTTCATGAGCCTCCAAAGTGCCTGTTGACAAGGCCTCAAGATGTCGATGCCAGGGAGCCTGCCCCATCACTCCGCAAAGGCAAGATTTAGGGTATTCAGCGGCTTTTCAAGACGCTTTGCGGCTCAGAAGTCGCGAGGTGTGGGAAGTTCTGGGGCTCAAGCCACAGGATGGGAATTGAGGTTTAGCTCTATGTTTATTGTCAACGCTTAGGTTGTCAGGGCAGTGTTGAAATGCATTCCGACGCCTTCTCATTACGGGCCAGCAATTCGTGGCACCTAAAAAGCAAGAACGTATGAGGCAGCTTCAAGGGCCTAGCCTGGTACTGCAGCAACTCCATAACAAACTATGCGCGCTCTTCCCATCTGTTCCACACATGCTTGTAAGCGACGGCCCACCAAATCATTCGAGCTTTCTTCACTAAGGCCAGTGCAACATTATTAATATAAATATAGTCTGCTTCTGTTGTTACCGTCACCATTATTGCTATTATTGAGTTGTGGGTCTGGATGCGGCCAGCTTTCCTGCTTCCCTGCTGACTGTCTTTATTTTGACAAATGCTTGGATTTCTGGCCCTTGCCAAAGCCATGGCAATATCTTTTCATTCGAGTACATTCCATGACGGTTTGATCTAAGTCCATTCTGTCAAATCCTACATTTTCCATGAAAATCGGGTAGGCGCTCGCTTGCGGCATGTGTCTGCGCTTCTGTCAGGAGCCCCCTCTGATCCGGAGATGTACAGAGAGCAGTCCTTCGCATCTACTCAGACCGGAACCGGAAGTTGGACAACCACCGAAACATTTAGCTCAGAGCACTCCAAGACATGGAACGTCGCCACCCGGGACTACAAACTCAAGATGATGGTGAAGAGCTTCTTGCAAGCTAATGGCTTCATGCACATCAACGAACCGCAGCACGCCTGGGGCCGCACCCGCACCTCAACTGATCATGTATCTAGCACATGTTTGCGGCGGCATTTTTGGTGTAAATGCCTGCTGTGATTGGGAGCCCCATAAGGTTATCCCTTGCATATGGCCGTCTCTCAGAACAAGCCCACGGTCGTCAAAGCACTGCTGCGGCTTGGAGCGCGCCTCAATGTGAAGACCCGACGCGGTCTCACTCCAGAGGACTTGGCAAGACGCAACGGCTTCGAAGAAGTCCTGCGCATTTTAGAGCAAGCAACGCTTCAAAAGGAAAGCACGTTTGACAGTGCGGAGGCGCCTCAAAGCGCCCGTACCACCCGGACCATCCAAATGTGATGTGGGGAGCCTTATAATCATGCATCTACCTCCAGTGACACAGATCACTGTCTTTTAGGCATCCCCAGCTGTTGACCAAGACGTGGATGAAGCAGAGTTGTTCGAGGGCTAGTAGTCGTGTCTTCAAACCCATCATCAGGTGTCAAGCTGGGAGAACTGCCTCAGGCCCGTGCATGGGTGCAGGCCATTAATTAGTTTGTTCCGCATGTTCCGCACTAAAGATCAGGTCGATTTAGTGGGCATGCTGCTTGCTTAGCAAGCTCATGCCTTCCTGTCAGTGACGCCCCCCAGTTGGTGACGATTCTACAGTGTGACTGGGCCGTGAAGGTCAGACATAAAGCTGTCATTGGCAGACATTTTGTTTTTCGGCCTGTGCGGATATTCCTAGTAGAGTCAAGCTCCGACAGCGGTGCTTGGACCAGAGGAGTTTCTCATAACCAGACCCGTTGATGACGGACAGTAATGCACACATCCTTGAAGCCGTGTGTGAAGGTCTTGGTTATTTGAAGTGCTCTAGATTGTTCAGTCAGTTTCTCAGTTGGCAAAATGCACGGTCTGCTGCAAGGTTTGCACTGTGATCATCAATGGTCAAGATGATGTCTCATCCGTGGATAAAGCGATGACTTGTGATCATCGTTTGTTGATCACTTTTCCCCCGGCACGTGATATCAAACAATCTGGGCCTTTTTTTTTAATATCGGGTGAGAAGTTTATTGAACGAAGTAGTTTGAAATCTAGCTAAGAACCGAATGAAGGCATCTGATATCTAATTGATATTCACTTAACAGTTTTGACTTCATGTCATGAACATCTAATTAAAATCAGTTGAAATCCAATTCGAATCTGATGAACATCGCTTTGCAACCTCATTAAGCATACATTGAAATCTAACGAAAAGCTTTTTGCAATCCATCTAGAACCAACTAAGATCTACTTGAAATCTAACTACAGCCACTTGAAATACATTGCCGTACTAGCATCATGAAATTGCAAATGTATGTCATATAATAGAAATCCTTGTAAAAGCAATGTGAAAACGAACTTGCAGTCAAAGTAGAACAAGCCGCTTGAACTATTGCCGTAATTAGATCATGAAAATCACATGTATGTGTTATATAGATTCCTTCAAAGGACCCTGTGAAAACAATGAAACTTAGGAAACCCATCAAGGGGTTTAGTATAGGGTTTAGGATTTAGGAGGGGATCTCTCATTCCTTTCGATTCCCTGTTATAACCCCTTTTGACTCCCGAACCTTCCCTAACTCATCATCAGGTGGCCCCTTTTGCGTTGACATGTACTTCCACTATCAAAAGTGCTCTTCAGCATGTTTTAGGCCCCTCATTTATCATTTGAATATTAAAGGGTTTCAAATTTTAGGGTGAGGTGATTCTTTTGTCAGGACGTGTTGATTCCATCCAACCACCGCGTTGCTCGAAGTGCGGTGCATGTCCACCCGTCCCCCCCGCCCGAACCAGCAGTCACGACAGGCGGGGCAAGTACTTAGCTTGGCGGTACAAGCAAGCGCCGAGCTGAACTGCAGAAACGCAAATTTAGACGCTTGACCTGTCAAGACCTCAGACGTATAACGCTGAGCTGCTAGTCTGGTGAGACTTCGAGTCAGCGGTGCTGTGAAAGCAAGCCTTTCCAGGACAAAGCCCTGTTGCAACTGACCTCTGACATTTGAACACTGCTTCTCGGGAGCACGCAGCTGTTGGGCTCGCGTCAAGGCCGTGTTGATCCCTTTCCCCGCTGACCATGGCGTTCGGGCAGTCTCGGGACAGGCTGGGACGATGTTGCAGCATAGCAACGTAACTAGGTACTGTGCGTGACTAGTTTACTGTCTTCCAAGCGTCGTAGGAGTTCCGCTGTCCTTTCCTAGATCATGCTTTGCTGACATGAGGGCAAAAAACAGCTTTGCACAAAATCAAGTGAGGCATTGGAATCATTAGCATTCCATCTGTTGACTCTCTTCTATTAGTGCCAGTACTGAGTGTGAAAACTCACGAACGGCTGTTCGAAGCAGAATCGTCAACATGTGTGCTGGAGTGCAGGATCTTTGCAACCCTGATTGATCTTTTGATCTCTTTCGTACTGGATCCACTGCAACGAAATCTGACATGTTTGTTTGTTTGTTTCAATGTGCTGAGTTTCTTGGTATCAAGCCCAAATTCTTCAAGAATCGGGCAAGAAATCCTCGCATTGATGAGCGTGATATGGCTCACGCAAGTCTTCTTGAGCATATCACCTTTCCTGGTGCAGGCAGCAGACATCACAAGAAGGGTGGCAGACGCAAGCAA